CAGGTAATCAAAGACTTACCCCCCTATAATTTTTGCATCCCTTTTACCCCTTGCCTTTATCAAGGAATATGCATGCTCTCTGCCAACCCCTAGGTACCTTAACCTCTTCCATACATTTATTAAAAATTGCACCAACCACTCCAAAACTATATCCCCACCTGCTTTTAACATTTTATCTTTATCCCATCAATCCTAGCTGCCTTACCCCTTTCATTTTACCTACTGCCTCACGAACAAGAACTATTAGGATAAAATCAAAGAAAACTCAGAGGGATGAGTATACATAAATGTGTCATGTATGTGTAGTGTGACTAAGTATAAGTAGAAGCAGAAAAGTCGACCTGAAATCTTCCATGTTTTGAGACAGAAAAAAAGACACCAGCACCCCTACCATCAAGTAAAACAAATACGGGGCTTCCTTTTTACACTCACTTGATAGGACGGTAGTACCTCCCCGAATGGTTGCTGTCTACCAACCTACTACCTAATTACTGCATTTAATTCAATAGTTAAAATAATAACTATAGATATAATTTAAGAAAGACATAATGTCTGATATAAAATACTAAAAGATGACTTTACACCTTTTGTGTAAATAATGATACTTAAGAAATATGAAGGAGCTGATTAGAGTACTTCTGCTTACCCAGTCAGAGCAAAGACGAAAAGTTCCTGTGGATCGAACGGGTACCCCACCTTGAAGTTAGTCTTGAAGAGAGCAGTCAAGGTTTCTGGGAATAAGAATAAAAGGACATCAAACACAAGTATCCTTCATAGTAAGTGAGCCATTGGATATGTACCAGACATTATTGGTACCAGCAGATCCAAAATACACTAAACTCCTCGGCGATCAAGACGGATCTCAGCCACACTGACAAATAACCACTTGCATAATTCCCAAGATCCTGATGAAATTTGATGAACTTTAAGTTCTACTGCTGGTGAAGGACATGAATCGAGTTTTGCTGAATGACTGATGATACCCCTATCATCATGAATAATGTGATGTTCAATATAGGAGGATAACAGGAACTGATAGTAAGGAGTAACTCCCAGGAAAGCTTAGTTACTGCCAGGGCCCCAGAGAACTATACAGGTTGTCCTGCAGGGCCCCAATGAACCACAGTGATAGCAGCAAAGGTAAATGGCACCAGGACCAGCCTCAGTAGCAGAAATTACAGCTTAAACCAGAAAATAAAGTATAAAATCAATACAATCAAAATTAATTGCAAGAAACACATTTTTTCTGGCCTGGGCAGTGTGCCTTATTACTGCAGCCCATCTTCATGTTATACAGGTTCAGTAAGTCTTAGAAATGTATTCTAATACATTCACAATTGTTCCTACTTATAACCCTTTTAATACTGTACACATTTGTATGATGCAGACCTGTAGACAATCCAAGAAAACAAGCAAGCAAAAACAGCGGCATAATATTAGTACAAATTAAGAACTGCCAGCAGATTCAGGTTAAAAAACTTATGGGACATGCGTTGAATAACGTGAGAACAGACTAAAACCGTTAAAAGGCATAGGCAGCATGTGGCGGGCAGTGTGTGGCAGCCTCAGCAGAGAGACTGGCCACCTTACCCGATCAGAGAGTATAGTAACAGCTCCTGAGGGCCGAATGGAATGTCCACATTAAAGGAGGTCTTGAAGAGCGGAGTCAGCGTGGCTGGAGGGGGGTACAAAGACTTGCTAGTAGACCACACACACTAACATACACAGGAAAATAAATATGTTAAGTCTTGTGCATACTTTTACACATTCTATTAATGGAATTTACTGAAGTTAATTAAGCATTCAAAAGAAGGCTATTTTGACCCAAAAACTATTACACATCTGCATCAACACAACAGTAAGTTCCACATATATGGTACTTCAGTCTATTTATAAATAAAATAAAATATTAAAAAAATATATAATAGAATCAATCTGGATTAATAAATTTTAAAACTTAAAGGAATAGTAATTAGGAATCCCCAAAGGGGAACCTTCAAGTGATTGTCAGAATTTTTTTCTTCCTCCAAATTTTCGTTATTTCATTCGTACCTTGAGAAAGCTTCATCTGATGAACTTCAAATTTTCTATGTTTGTGTATGGTAACTAGGGCAAGAATCCTGAAACAATCTGCATATGTATGTGACCTTTAACCCTTAAACGGTCCAAACGTATATATACGTTCACCTGCGCAGCGCCCCAAATATTTTGAGAAATTAAACAATTGTTTTTTTTTACAGGAAAAAAGAGCATGTGGTACCCAGGCATCCCCAATTTTTTCATATGGCGCACACTGAGTGCGTACACCCATTCTCTCATGTCTAGGCGACTCGGGCCTATCTTCCCAATGTTGAATAAATGACAAATGAAAAGTATATATACTTTTGGGGCGCTACATGAGAGAACGTATATATAGTGCCAGGAAGGAAAAAAAACTGGCAGGAAATGGCAGAAATCGTACGCCAAATCCAGTCATTTCTGGAGTGGAACCACAGTCGATGAGCCTCCACTCTAAAACCAACAGATACAGATACTAGTCCCGGGGAAAAAAGAGTCCCCCCAGTAACACCAAAAACCACCAGTTCAATGACATTCTTCTTTGCAAATATACAGGGTCAAAGCCAGCAACAAACAACAAAATACCTTTCATCTGTGGACTGCTTGCAGAGGCAAATGCAATGTTCGCAGCTTTCACAGAGACCCACAAAAAAGGATCATTTGGACAACGAAATATGGATCCCAGGTTACAACCTATACAGATGCGACAGAGTAAACAGGCAAAAGGGGGGAGGGGGGTTGGCCTGTATATCGCAGAGTCACTTGTTTGCACAAACGTGCTTAATGCCCAAATGATGTAGTGGAAGTTTTAGCATTTAAAGATCGAGAACCAAAACCTAGTCATTGTGGTAGTCTACAAGCCTCCGGATGAAAACGTCCCAGCAATTCCAAGAACAGTTGTTAAAAATTGACCACTGTCTGGAAAATCTCCCAGCTCCTGCCCCCAACATCTTGCTCATAGGGGATTTAAAATTGAGGCGCTAAAAATGGAGGAATATAGCAAATAATGTTGTTGCAGTGTTTAACACCAGGAGGCAGCTCTGACGAGAACTCCCCACACACACGAGCTTTTTAAATCTCTGCACAAAATTAAATTTAAAAACCAGCAAATAATAGAGCCCACTAGACTGGAGAATACACTAGACCTCATCTTCACTAACAATGATGATCTGATACGAAATGTCACCCATATCAAAAACATATACTCAGATCACAACATAATCAAGGTTCAGACATGTATGCGCTGAGCCCACACCGACAAAATGAGATTAGTCACAAGGGGCCTTCCCCAAAATTTAAAACTTAATAACAAGAACATAAAGAGGGACCAAGTAAACCAAGTACTAAACGATATAAGCTGGGAGATAGACTAAGCAACCCCAGACCCCAACTTATGCCTAGAACAGATTAATTCTGTGGCACTCGATGTATTCCAAGGCTTTTTCCCTTTTAAAGGGAAAAAGGAGGAGTAAATGTAAAATGAAAGGACAGGCGCTCCCTTTACAGGCGACGGAAAAGAATAACAGAGGGGGCTAAAAGAGGCCAATATATCTGAAATGCGTAGGGAGTCACTGGTCAGAGAAATAGCAAACATCAAACTTAAGCTAAAGGAATCTTATAGGAGTCAGGAATTGCAGGAAGAACTAAAAGCCATAAATGAAATCTTATGCCAAATCAAAGTCAAGAACAACATCCAGTATTGCGCCCCAAACTTAAACAAGATGGGTCCTACACAGATGACAGCAAGGAAATGAGTGAGCTACTCAAGGCCCAATATGACTCAGTTTTTAGCAAGCCGCTAACCAGACTGAGAGTCAGAGATCAAAATTAATTTTTTATGAGAGAGCCACAGAATTTCATTAACACAAGCCTATCTGATGTTATCCTGATGCCAAATGACTTCGAACAGGCAATAAATGCCCATGCCCATGCACTCTGTCCGGGGCCCAGACTAAATGGAACTCCATGTTCATCAAGAACTGCAAGAAGCCCTATCACGAGGTTTTACCATCCTATGGAGACGGAGCATGGACACAGGGGTCGTCCCCAGTACTAAAAAACAACAGACATAGCCCCACTCCCCAAAGGGGGCAGTAAAAAAATAGCAAAGAACTACATACCGATAGCACTAACATCCCATATCATAAAAATCTTTGAAACGGTCCTAAGAAGCAAGATCGCACCCATCTAGGTACCCATTTAAATTTCACAACCCAGGGGCAAAACGGGTTTAGAGCAGGTCGCTCCGTCTGTCTCAATTACTGGATCACTTGACAAGGTCCTAGATGCACTAAAGACAAAAAGAATGCAGACTTAATATATACAGACTTGGGAAAAAGCCTTCGACAAGTGTGGCCATGGCGTAATAGCGCACAAAATGCGTGCTAAAGGAATAACAGGAAAAGTTGATAGATGGATCTATAATTTCCTCACAAACAGAACACAAGAGTAGTAAACAGAGTAAAGGGCTGAGGCAGCTTGGTGGGAAAAACTCTGTTCCACAAGGCCCCAGTACTTGCTCCCAATCTTGTTTCCATCTCATATCTGATACAGACAAGGATGGTTTAGGGCCCCAGCACCATGTCTTCCTTTGCAGATGAAACCCGAATCTGCATGACAGTGTCTTGCATTGCAGACACTGCAAGGCTCCAGGCGGAATCACAAATCTTTCAGTGGGCTGCAGAAAACAATGTGAAATTCAACGATGAGAAATTTCATTACTCCGATTTTGGTAAACACGAGGAAATTAAAACTTCATCAGAGTACAAAACAAATTCCAGCCACAAAATAGAGTGAAAAACCAATGTTAAAGACCTGGGAGTGATCATGTCAGAGGATCTCACCTTCAAGGACCATAACATTGTATCAATTGCATCTGTTAGAAAAATGCAGGTGGATTATGAGAACCTTCAAACTAGGGATGCCAAGCCCATGCTGACACTCTTCAGGTCACTTGTTCTATCTAGGCTGGAATATTGCTGCACACTAACAGCACCTTTCAAGGCAGGTGAAATTGCTGACCTAGAAAATGTACAGAGAACCATCACAGCATGCATAACGGAGATAAAACACCTCAATTACTTTGAGCGCTTGAAGTTCCTGAACTTGTACTTCCTGGAATGCCCGGCGGGAGAGATACATGATTATATTACACCTGGAAAATCCTTAAAGGGACTAGTACCGAACTTGCACACGAAAATCACTCACAACGAAAGTAAAAAAACTCGGCAGACGATGCATCATCCCCCAACGAAAAGCAGGGTGTCACTGCACATTAAGAGACAATACAATAAGTGTCAGGGGCCCGAGACTGTTCAACTGCCTCCCAGCATACATAAGGGGGATTACCAATAGACCCCTGGCTGTCTTCAAGCAGGCACTGGACAAGCACCTAAAGTTGGTACCTTACCAGCGGGGTGTGGGCTCGTAGTTGGATTGTGTGCAGCAAGCAGTAACAGCTTGGTTGATCAGGCTCTGATCCACCAGGAGGCCTGGTCACAGACCGGGCCGCGGGGGCATTGAGCCCCGGGACTCTCTCCAGGTAAACTCCAGGTAATGCGTTTGGACCGTTTAAGGGTTAACATAAGTTGTTGAACTCATTCCCAGCATCCTGGAATGGCTCCCAAAAAATTCCAAAGCCCTTAGCAGCATTTGCTTCAAATGTTTAGAAAGATGTCTTCTAATTAGTCGATGGCAAAAAATGAATCTTCTGATCAACTTCAAAACTTTCAACATGGTGTATCCCACTGTGAAGCAGGTTGCTTTTTTTAGTGTAGTGTGTAGATACCATTGTAAACCAATGGTATCTACACACTAAATTATGATATGATGCTGGTGAGAGGGTTTTGTTTACGGAAGTGGATTTATTCTCCCCCCTCCTTGGATCAAACCTGAATCCTGCTAATTCCTAGAGGCATCAATTTTTAATGGCTGATGCACTCAGAAATAAGTGGGAATCTAAATTTATGTAGATTGGCCTAGGATAACCCACCATGTACTTTTTTGTGCCAATTTAACATCTGTTGCCCTCAAGATCATTTAAAAAGAATTGTTATGTAATGTAAGCAAAGCCTAATAACTTAATTACCAACTTTAAATACCAGTCTTAGAAAAAGTTTTGATTTATTTTTGCTGGGTAGGTCTGAATTTGCTTTTTCAAGCGGAGTTGGAAAAATTTAAATACTGGTTTTTATGGGTAATTTCTGTGTGCCTCATCTGATGGCTTCAGCACTTCAACACTATTAACTTGATAATGCAATTTCAGAGCAGCTTCAAATTAATGTGCTCATGTAGTTTTGGATTTTTAAAATTTGTTTTAGGCTGTATATGTCCTAATTTATCAATTTTACTGAAGAAATCTGAAGATTAGTTTCCATGTGATAACTTTTTAAATGTCTCTCCTGATTCACCTCAAACCTTCAGCACTAATATTCAACTGCATTAAAAACTTGTGCCACACTCTGCATTATTTTTATTGCATGCACTGAGGTACAAGGGACTGATGTTATATAATATGGAGGGATATCTTTCTTGGATTGTGCAGCAATTGAAATGCATCTAGTTTTCCAAGAATCTGCCATCTTGTAAAGCCTGTACACTTTAAGAAAAAAAATTATGAAATAATACATTATTATTATAGCCATGGGGAAACACTAAACCTGTTGGGGTCATACAATGCCTGGGGAATGGGAGGCAATCAGAGTTGATCTGAAAAAGGGTAGAGCAGCTCCATTTCCTTGAATCAAGCACCCCTCACCAGCATGAAGGATCCCTCCTTAGAAGGTAAAAATATTTCAAGCCGCTTCAGTTACCTAAACAAGAATATCTGATTAAAGTGGGATCAATGTACAGTACAAATATCAGAGACAGTTAAACACATCATTCCTCTATAAATGTTAGTGTTAGGCTACCAGTAATAACACAGTACACTATGTGTATATCAGAGAGATGGTGATGGGGGATTTTATTCTGCAAGGAAAAATGTCTTCTCACTAGGATCTTCATTACATGATGACCCAATCAAAAGGGTAAGTAACAGCTGGGTCTTTACCATATCAAAAATAAAAATCACAATATGGTACTAGGGATGGAACAATACCAAAAATTTTGCAGATACAAATGCTCAATTTTAGGCTGATACAGATACCATGAAAATTAACAAATACTGGCCAATACCAATACCACTAAAATTAACCAATACTTAGTTATAGGCCAATACCAGTGCCATCAAAATTAGCTGATACCCACCAATACCAATACTTTGGTACACCCCCACATAATATGCTCTATGATGTATATAATACTGACAAATTGCAATGTCTGGGTAACTCAGTGAATAACAGATCTTGAATAAGCCAAATATTTACTAAAGAAACCATTTCTGAGGGATTTTTTTACTTGTTCCTGAAAGAAAACATGCAGAAAAACTATGGTAGTGAGAGTTGGTAAGACTGCATAAAGTAAAAAGATTAGAAACCGAGAATGTAGACCAAGCCAGCTAAACTTCAGAGTCGAGTCAAGAATGTAGACAAAACCAAGCTAAGACTTCAGAGTCGAGTCAAGAATGTAGACAAAGCCAAGCTAAGACTTCAGAGTCAAGTCAAGAATGTAGACAAAGCCAAGCTAAGACTTCAGAGTCAAGTCAAGAATGTAGACAAAGCCAAGCTAAGACTTCAGAGTCAAGTCAAGAATGTAGACCAAGCCAAGCTAAGACTTCAGAGTCAACCCGAGAATGTAAACCAAGCCAAGCTAAGACTTCAGAGTCAAGTCAAGAATGTAGACAAAGCCAAGCTAAGACTTCAGAGTCAAGTCAAGAATGTAGACCAAGCCAAGCTAAGACTTCAGAGTCAAGTCAAGAATGTAGACAAAGCCAAGCTAAGACTTCAGAGTCAAGTCAGAATGTAGACCAGCCAAGCTAAGACTTCAGAGTCAAGTCAAGAATGTAGACAAAGCCAAGCTAAGACTTCAGAGTCAAGTCAAGAATGTAGACAAAGCCAAGCTAAGACTTCAGAGTCAAGTCAAGAATGTAGACAAAGCCAAGCTAAGACTTCAGAGTCAAGTCAAGAATGTAGACAAAGCCAAGCTAAGACTTCAGAGTCAAGTCAAGAATGCAGAGAAACAAGGTATGATTACAAAGTCAAACCAAGGCTGCACAGTCAAGCCAAGTTTGCAAAGTCAGAGTTAACCCTTTCAGGGTCCAGATGCCAAATTTCAAAGTGTGCACAGTGTCCAAGAATTTTCAAAAAATAATTTTTTTATTTTTTTCTTATGAAATTGTAGAGAATCTTTTTCTGAAGGTAATAAAACAAAAAGTATGAAATTTGATGGAAAATTTATGAAAAATAGATGTATTCTCTCATATTTAGGCCCAAATTTACCACTCACAGCTTATCAGAGTGAGCTGAGCTCATGGCATAAATCTACAGTTTGGACCCTCAACGTAAAGCCGTAGATCTATGGTACAGACCCTGAAAGGGTTAAGCCAGGTTTGTGTTCATCTCCACAAGACAGTAGTTTGTTTACATAATTAGCAATGTTATACTAAGATGAAACCTGAATGTTATTTGGTCAAGTGAGGGACCAACATATCTATTACTGTACTGCTTACCTGATACAGTACATTAATGACCAACCTTGTTGGTAAACACCATAAACAGCAAACAGATCATTATCAAGAACACATACAGTATTTCTTCAGTTTGATTTATCCCTCTTATGAGCAATTTTCACGGCCTGTTACTATCTTATGTATGCCAACAATTTTAAAATCTAATTTAACATATTAAATCATCCTGGATGACCTTCATTATTTAACTGAGCCATACAGGATTCTGCAAAAAATGAAAAACTTTTTGGTTTTCACATTGTTAAATGAGGGCAGATTTTTAAATCCATTAAACTAAGTCTCACCATTGTTTGAAAAATATAATTTTTTCAATGATCTTTAGTAAGTTATTTATATAAAGGGAAATAGAATATACTGACAACTATGTTAAAAGACACAATATGTGGTTCATGGAATTTTACTGAGATGTTTCGTTCACCAGGGACTGTATTCTCACGAGATGGACAAAAAAGAGAGCATGTAGTATAAAGCGTAGTGGAGAGATGCAAGGCGTAGAGATGGGTGTATTGTCACTTTGCAGTAATGTTACTCGATCAAATGGAATTAACGAAGATGAAAATTAGGTGGGTCAATAGTTCATCTCAGTAAAATGTCATAAAGTACATATTGTTTTTTAAACTGGAATAATTTAAGTTAAAATTGAAAAACTACAGTATATGAAAGTGTGTTGATGCATTATCATATGCACATGACTTCATCAAGAGAACAACAGTGTGAATACCTTCATCGTTGAACCAGACTGCCAGCAGTCTGAACATCAGGGCGCCACATCAGCAGCAAAGAACCCTCGCCAGTATTTTCCTGACAGCGAAGTATACACTGGTTACCTCAATGCTGAAGAGCACTCCTATGGAGAAAGGGATAAAAGAAGAGAGATTAATTACTGTGGTACCTCACTTGTTTTGGGTCATTCATTTGGCAGCTTTCATATGTATAATGAATAACCTTCATAAGTTTGTTAGATTTAACCCTTTGACTGTTTCAGGGCCCTCTCTGAAACTGTCATTCTATGTCGCCAAATATTCGAAAAAAAAAAAAATTATTTTTCTTATGAAAATGTTAAGGAATATTTTTACTAGTGTTTTAAGCCAAAAAAAAATTTTGCCATCAGTACTTACCGAGATATTGAGCCGCAAAGTTTGCAGAAATTGACGTGCGTACGGCAACAGCGGCGACTGCCGCCCACCCGGTATTCTTTTATTTACTCTAATTCAAAGGTTTCTTGCATTTTTCAATATTTTTCTTTTCCAGGTAACTTATGTGGCCTGTGAGACCAATGTAAGGTGCATTGTTCAAATATACACTCATTATTACAACACAAAAACGAACAAACTTTATCACTTTTAGTTTGTGTATACACTTTGTTTACACAAACAAAATAAAAACAATTTTTAATTACTAGTGTCCATAATATATACATATGTACAGTCACTAACCACGTTCCTAGAACTGCTGCAGCTTGTGGAACTCTTTGAAACATGGGTATATGCAGAGGGGCACTTCACACTCCTCACACATAAAACGAGTGTCTCTGCGTGTTTGTGGGCGTTTTGTGGTATGCATACATACATAACACCTTTCTGAGCATTTTCTTGGCAGTAGTAGGAGGCATTTTGTATGGGGTAGTGATCACCAGGCCTCAAACGAGATGACGTCTGTGGGGGCTGGTCTATTGCAGGAGTTGCTCCTTTGTACTTTGCAATTTTTTGTCTGATTACTGACAGGCAAAATTCACCATATTTTGGTGTTTTGTTGGTCTTCAACTTGTATATGTTATAAGATTTAGCATAGAGATATCAACAAGATGGAAAAAAAGTTTGATATACCACTTATAACTCTTGCGTACACAGTCTGCAAACCCAATCTGCATGTCACATTTGTCCACTAAGCGAAATATTGAGGTTGTAGTCCATAAACAGCTGCAGGCTTTAGAATGGGTTCATTGGTCTCTCTGTTTTTCCCTGCCATGGGTACCATTTCGTTTGTGTGAACTGAGTCAACAATGTGACATCACGTTTTTTCATGCCACCGAAATGCCATGATGTCATTGGCAGCAAAGGCTTGCAACCTCACCTCTGCGAGTGCCAGCGTCGAACCTTGGCATATGTTTGCGATTACCACGCACTGTGCCACACACGTCTGTCAAGTTCACTCGCAAAAAAATAAATGAGTAAGGGGCTTGTGTACCAGTTATCAGTAAATAACATATGCCCCTTACCAAAAATATGGTTTCCATCATTGTTCGAAACACATCACCAGAGATACCCAATAACTTCATGGTATTTCTCAAAGTATTACTGCCAGTGTACACAATAATATCTAAAACAAGACCACTTCTCAATCACAAGTATCAAATACCTTTATACCAAAGCGTTTCCTCTTGCTTGGTATATATTGCTTGAATGAGAGTCTTCCCTTTTGAATAAAATCAAGGACTCATCAAAAAACAAGCTTCCTGAAGGGATAAAAATACATGCAGCACTTTGTTTCAGGTACATAAACACATTTCTTATCTTATATAACCCTGTCGCTTCTGTCAGGCCTGGTTTTGTCTGAAAAGTGTAACATACGCAACAGTATCAGGAAACGATTGAAAACCTATAATGTCACAAAAAACCTGGAGTTGAAATCAGGCGATCTGTGTCCAGTATGTGGTGACAGTGTGCTTATACACATGTGGCATAAGCATTATTGGGGGCAAAAAAACAGGTACAAACTCTGCCACAGTTGTCTCCTTCCACTTGTGTAGCCTTTATTTTGGTGAGAGAAAATTTTATTTGCCATGGTGTATTTTACAGTATGTGTTGGGTTTCCCTGACAATGATGTCCATCAGGGGGTTTATCGAAGAATAACTCAAAGCAGTCCAGTTCACTGGCATGTTCCCAAGTGGACAAGATGGCTTTATTCCACTTTGTTTTTCATCAAAGTCATGGGGACTGGGAACAAACTCGTCACCGTCCTGCCAATCCCAGATGCGGTCTGCTGGTGGGGTCTGGATATTGTACCGTGGTTGTGGGCTGTGCAGGTTGTGGTGGTGCAGGTTGTGGCAGTGGGGGTAGGGTGAGGCTGGTTGTTCTGCTGAGTCAGCCGCGTGGCTAGTACGTGGCCCCGGGGATGGTGCCACATGGGCCGTGCCACCCCACTATTTACCACCACTGCCTCCTCCCCCACTGTCACCATTCATACCCATCGTTACAATACGTCATCTTCACTATCAGGTCGTGGTGTTGGGCATGGGATGTGCTCCCAGAGTTTCTCCTTCCCCTTGGAACAACATTTGAAACACTACCAGACCGCATGCTACGTCGTACATCTGGCGCTTCACTGGGGAAAATTCACTCTCACTGTCACTAAACTGCTTTTAATGACCTTGAAACCTATACTATCACTATCACTATCACTGCTATCATCAGGGTGTTGTACACGACCAAATAGTTTCCCCTTTCGTCCTGGTACAGGCGAAGGTGAATGTGAACAAGCCCGGCACAGCACCAGAGGTCGAAGGTTGTGGGTCATCTGGGTTTTCGTCACTATTTACGTTATCCTGGGCACTTTTTTCGGTAAACACTCACTTGAAAACCCTTGAATTCACTGTCACTGACATTTTCATCGCTGTTAGAGCTATCACTTGGGAACAAAAGACCTCCAATCTGCCGAGGAGTGAGGAACTTCTTACCGAGAGGCATGGTGAAAATGGACTGACAACATGGCGTTCCCACAATGCACCGCTAGGTCCCAGATTTTTTTCACAGGGTGCACACCGACCACTGAGACCCATTCTCTCCCGTGTAGGCCTACCAGGCCTTTGGCGCGCGATTTGAAGCCGCTAGAATTTGTGCGTATAAATACGTCAGAAACATTGGCTCGTAAGACGTATTTATACGTCGGAAACAGTCAAAGGGTTAAGGTCTAGCGACTTGACTGCACCAGTCATTAAGGTCACAATCCACCAAGACACAAAAATTATCTCTTAAAAAGGAATAAACTAAGCTCACAGTTTATATGCCTTATCATAACCTTGGTGAGACAGTATATATATACATAATAATAATAATAATCTTTATTTCTACAAGTACATTTACAAGGTATACAGGCCTAGCTGACATCAATGACATTCTGCTGTATAGTAAGCTGCTTGCTATGCAGAGTATTTTGGGCAAATTAGGTCAATCTTGTGCCAGGATGTGACCCACACCAGTCAACTAACACCCAGGTAGCCATTTTGCTGATAGGTGAACATGGACAGCAGGTGCCTTATAGAAACACGTCCTAATGTTTTCCAGGTGTACTGGGGATCAACCCCCAGATCTCAGTGTGTGAGCTGAGTGCACTAGCAATCGAGCTACGGAGACCTTAAATTAATAGTATTATAATCATGTGAAAGCACTAAACCCACTGGGTTCATAGAGTGCCTGAGGAATGTGACCCATTCCTCAGGCACTGGGACCCAATGGGACCTACTAGGTCTTTGTCAGATGCTGTGGAGTTTGACAAAAACCCACAATGACCTCTGTTACCTTTTTTATGCACTTCTGGTCGCAGAATGAAGTGCAGGTGCACACCTAATTAAAACTCACCACCAATGGGAGCAGCAAAGGAACAGGCCACCCCCACAGCACAGGCTGCAGCCAGCATCTCAGAATTTCGGGACTCGTTCTCATAGATGCCCTTAAAGGAAGTCACACCCTTAGAAAGCAGTGTGGCCACCATGCTTGCAATGTGCACAAATGGACCCTGGAGGAGAGGCAGAGTAATGGAACCTTGTTGTAAATATATTAAAACAATATTATGTAATCAAGAACATATGTGTGGATGAAATGTGATACAACACTTTTGAGACAGACAGACACACACATATAGATACAGAGAGGGGACACAGGGACAAGGGGTCACAACTGGAAGCTGAAGACTCAGACGAGTCACAGGGACGTTAGGAAGTATTTCTTCAGTCATAGAGTTGTCAGCAAGTGGAATAGCCTAGCAAGTGAAGTAGTGGAGGCAGGAACCATACATAGTTTTAAGAAGAGGTATGACAAAGCTCAGGAAGCAGAGAGAGAGAGAGGACCCAGTAGCGATCAGTGAAGAGGCGGGGCCAGGAGCTGAGTCTCGACCCCTGCAACCACAATTAGGTGAGTACAATTAGGTGAGTACATGGTGTACATATTTAATAAGATAGCAGTGTGTAAGTATAATAACTTAATAGTAGCAGATTACAAAGAACTGCCTGACTAGAATATTCATGCACAAAGAACTTGTTTTAACTTTGATGTGAGTTCCTCAATAGCATATTAACACCATTAAGAGAGGAAACTTATTGCCACATTTCATAAGAACATAAGAACGAAGGAACACTGCAGAAGGCCTATTGGCCCATGCGAGGCAGGTCCAAGTCTCCTACCGGCTTAAGCCAATGCACCCAACCTGGTCAGGTCAGGTCCCATCAGTCCTAAAACACTGTCAAGTTACAACTTGTTCCACCCACAATGCTGTGCTTTTATTCTTCTTTAACACTCTCAACATATTACTGTTACTATGTTACTGCTAATTTACAGTAATCCTACCAAAACATGATCTATAATAAACATACACAAGAAATGATGTTGAGGTAAACTAACGTTACACATGTCTTAATGAGGAAACCGAGTCACACTCACCTCCTTGCCAAGGGGCAGCCCGGAGCCCAGAGTGGCTGTCAGACCAATCACCTTGGCTACCAGAGTCTTGAAAGTGAGGTATTCCTTTAACACAACTCCTCTCAAGATGGTTTTCATCTCAGGAATACCTGAACCTGCAGGGGTAAGAATACATGGTAGTGATGAAAACCTGCTGTACTAGAAGTTAGAAGAAGGGACTAGATAGTTAGTGGTGGGGCAAGAGAACTGGAGATTGTTGGAGCAAAACGAAGAGGAACCAGAAGGTGGGATGAAAGGAGGCTTCATCATACATACACTATTTTACTCACTATCCGTGAGTGTGATAAGAATGAGACCACAAAAGCACAATAGAGGGAGGCTAGAGAAGATAGGTGTGAGTGTCTTTTAATGTAGTAAGCATTCACTCTACTCACTACAATATTGAAGATCATACTGCCCACATAAAAACAACTTTTACAAGGTTATGAGTGTTGTGTCTAGAATTTTGCTGAACCTGTTTTCTACCTATTACTGTTGTTTATGATAAAAATTGATTTTCAAGAATATATTTCACAAGATAAATTTTTAATCCATAATTATGTATATAACTCATATTGCTCCAAAATATCAATTTTTTTCATCATTAAAAGTGAATTGGTGTATCACAATAAGCTAAGGCATTTAGCTGGAAAAGATACAAGTAGTTGACATATTAATATATCTCTTTTTGTTTCATATATATAAAATGCATGGGTGATTTATACAGCAGCATCCACCAGATCATGTTCACCTTATTCCTGCCACACTACTATATGAATACGTCAATAATTATAACACAGGATAAATGTACCTGTTTATCTTGATAAATAAATGAAATGCAATCTGAGACAGATGTAAATGTGCATCATGCAGCTGGTTTAGTGGAAGACAGAGCATAAACTAAGGCTTACAGCGGAAAAAGTCTGAATAAGTGCACAGCTGGATCAGGCTGGGGTGGGGAGTACAGGCTCACAGCACACTAAACACTGGCCTAACAGGTGTGCTGACACCACCTCAAAATGATCTCAAATGTGTGTATGTCACATAAATTAAAAGCTATAGCATGACTCAAGATGAGAGAAAGAAACATCAGGAGAAAGAGCTTGGAGTATGATTATAGAGATGCATCTGGTAGGTGGACCCAGCATACCTGTCATCGAAGATTCAACCACATTTGTCAGGCTACCACCCGCTACATTTACGTTTGGATGTGTCTCAAAGCCGACGCTTTCCCTTTCCCTACAACCTGTACCACTTTATTTCTGGGTATGATAGGTATCAGAGCCCTGGTGCCAATATGCCTAACTGCCCCATACCACAGGTTAGTGCCAACACTTCAAAAGTTCCTACGAGATTATTCGAATTCTGATCAACATTTTACCTCTTTCTTACTTTTTAAATTCAGCTAACAAATATTTTGTTTCCTCTCTGGAGACAAATTACCAGGAATGATCATCACCCTCCTAGCAGGATTCAGGCAGTGACAGTATCCACCCTTCCTGCCTCCTCCCATTCCTCTAATACTACTCCTAACTTGTTACTAACAATAATCATAAAGTAATATGCCTCTTTATCGGCTTCTCTTTCAAGGACCCCAATGGAAATAAGCCATTGACTTTTTTTGGGTTATCCTAAGTAATTTCTACATGTTATACTATGTATGATAAATGTACAAGTGTAAATGTACCTGAATAAACTTATTTCACTGATTAATATATATACAGTGGTCCCTCGCTTTTCGTAGTTCTCGGCAATCGTAAATTTTGCCAATCATAGGGGTATTTTCGTATAAACATGGACTCGCTTTTCATAGGTTGACTCGCGAATAGTAGTTCGTCCGGGACGCATATGCACGGTGTGAGCCAGGGAGGCCTCCCTACCCAGCCAGTCTGGCATTGTTTACCAGTGAGTGAAGGTCCCCTCAAGTGCTCCTACGAAATATTTCATAATATTCCACTCATTTTAGTGCTTGCAAGTACTAAATAAGCTACCATGGCTCCAAAGAAAGCTCCTAGTGCCAAGCCTGTGGTAAAGAAGGTGAGAAATATGTACAGTGACAAAGTCTTGGGCCATTTTAGGGAAGTGTTAAAGAGATGCCAGAAACAGAGCTCTCTCCACAGTTACTTTGCGAGACAGGACTAGAGTGACTCTCAAGGTGGTCCTAGTGGCATTAAGAAACAGAGAAGAGAAGCAACCCCAGAGAAGCAATTGGTACCTGAGGTGTTGCTGGAAGGGAATTCCCCTTCCAAACTGTAAACAATCCAATCTCTCTCCTCCTCCAGTCTCCTATACACTTATTAGAATCTCCAATAAAGGTAAGTGTTATGCTGTTAATGTTTCATTCATCATTTCCCACTGTATTGTTTATGTACTACATGTATATTTCATGTAAAAAATTTTTTTAATTGTATTTACATTATTTCTTATGGGGAAAATTGATTCGCAAATCATAAATTTCGTTTATAGTAACGGCTCCAGGAACGTATTAATTACGAAAAACGAGGGACCACTGTATATATATATACATATGTATATATATGAAGGATGAGGTTAATCAAAGAATTGATGAGGGAAAAAAGGTGAGTGGTGCATTGAGGTATATGTGGAGACAAAAAAAATGTTATCTATGGAGGCAAAGAAGGGAATGTATGAAAGTATAGCAGTACCAACACTCTTATATGGGTGTGAAGCTTGGGTTGTGAATGCAGCAGCGAGGACGCAGGTTGGAGGCCGTGGAGATGTCCTGTCTAAGGGCAATGTGTGGTGTAAATATGCAGAAAATTTGGAGTGTGGAAACTAGGAGAAGGTGTGGAGTTAATAAAATTATCAGTCAAGAGGGCTGAAGAGGGGTTGTTGAGGTGGTTTGGTCATTTAGAGAGAATGGATCAAAGTAGAATGGCATGGAGAGCATATAAATCTGTAGGGGAAGGAAGGCGGGGTAGGGGTCGTCCTCAAAAAGGTTGGAAGGAAGGGGTAAGGGAGGTTTTGTGGGTGAGGGGCTTGGACTTCCAGCAGGCGTGCATGAGGGTGTTCGATAGGAGTGAATGGAGACGAATGGTATTTGGGGCCTGACAATCTGTTGGAGTGTGAGCAGGGTATATTTAGTGAAGGGATTCAGGGAAACCAGTTATTTTTATATAGCTG